GAACTTCTAAGCCTCCAGCTCCTACCTCTCAGATACTGGGATTGTAAACACGTGTCACCCACCATGTTCCATTTTGTCTAGTACTGGGGATTGAACCTGGGGCATCATGCATACTAGGGGAGCACTGTACCCACTGAAATACACCTTTAATTGTGAGCCACCATGTGGGTGCTGGGAATTGAACTCAGGACCGCTGGAAGAGCAGTCAGTGTTCTTAACCGCTGAGCCATCTCTCCACGCCCCCCCCCCCCCCACAACACTTAAAAAAAAAAGCATGTAATTGGGGGCTTGCTTACAGTTCAGAAATTAGTTCATTATCATGGTGGGGAGCATGGATGGTACCATGAAGGCAGACATGGTCCTGGAGAAAGGGCTGAAAGTTCTACATCCTTACCTGAAAGCAGAGAGAGAGCCTGGACCTGACGTGTGTTTTTGAAAGCTCATAGGGCACCCCTAGTGACACACTTCCTCCAACAAGGCCACACCACTTAATCTTTCTAATCTTTTCTAATAGTGCCACTCCCTGGTGACTAGACATTCAAATCTATGAGCCTATGGGGCCATTCTTATTCAAACCACCACAGACATCCTAGACACCTGTTATTTTGTGAGGAAAAGGGGAGAGGAAGAGAGAAAGAAGGAAGGAGAATAAGACCCACAGAGAGAGTAGTCAGATTTTGACTCAAATAGTAGCTCTGGGCTTAAGGTTTGTTATGTTTTGCTATCTATCTAAAGATTTATTTTTCTTTCATGCACATGAGTGTTTTGCCTGCATGTATGTCTGTGCACCACATGTGTGCCGTGACCGTGGAAGGCAGAGAGGGTGTCAGATTGTCAGATCCCCAGGACCTGGGGTTACAGACGGTTGTGAGTGGAGCCGCCAGTGCTCTTAACCATGGAGCCATGGAGCCATCTCTCCACCCCTCTGCCTATTGAAGTGTATCGTGTGTGTGTGTGTGTGTGTGTGTGTGTGTGTGTGTGTGTGTGTGTATAGGTCCAGCTGCCTGTTTTGTATTAGGTTTCCTTTTCCTTGCTGACTTTGTGTACTGTGTATGTGTATTATGTGCTCTGACTTTTATTTGAGATAGGCTTCACCACGCTGTCTCATCTGGTCTCAAACTTCCTGAAGCTTTTTTAAAAACTAAATTTACATAATTAGATTAGCACAGAGAGGCAGTCTGTCATTTGTTTCTGATCTTTTACTCATGGAGCCACGAAGCTCCCAGCAAACGCCCCACATTGGGGCTGCACTGCCCCTCCCATTACCCTTCCTCCGAGCAGTCTCCTCCCGCGGGGCCCTGTAGGCTGCATGCAAAGGAACTGGTCAAACCTGCAGGGCACCTTTCTACCTGTCCTTCCCAAGGGGCTTAAACAGTTTCCCTGTACCACTGAGGTTGTTATTCCTGTTTCCACAGTGAGGAAACTGCAGTTGGGAAGCAGGGCTCTGCCCATGCTCACACAGCTAGCAGCTGGCATGCAAGCCTGTGGCCACAACTTTTCCTGCTGTCTTTAGCATGCTCTTTCATAGGGGAGGCATGGCTGCAAACGTGTGGCTCCTTTGTTATGAACTAACCCAACAAGTATTTGAGCAGCTACCATGTGCCATGCCAAGGTCAGGACTCTTTCTATTTGATTAGGGCCTTGCTATGTAGCTTAGGCTACCCGGGATCTCCCCATCTTCCTGCCTCAGCTTCTCCAGTGTTAATATCACAGGCAAGCTTCCAACCAACTATGGCTTATTAATTTATTTACTTATTTACGTACTTGTTTTTCTTTCCAAGAACCTTTCCAATGCCCTTCATTTCCAACCTGACCCTCCTTAAGCAGCTGCTACCAAACTTAGTGAAGATGATTGATTAGTATAAGGCATTTCAGTCCAGAACTCATGTACTCAGGTAATCCTCCTGCCTCGGTCACCAGGCCCAGCCCCAACAAACCTTCTATGTAAAAACCGTTATTTCCGATTTTACTAACAAGAAAACTGAGGCCCAGAAAGGTGAAGTGACCAGTTTAAACCACATGGCTTCAGAGCCGATGCAGATCTGTTCCTTTTGGATTGGTGGCTTATCTCTTCCCAAAGGGAGGGATTGCTCTGCTTTTTAAAATACCTTTTATTATTTAATTAAAAGTTTGTTGCCAGGTGGTGGTGATACATGCCTTTAATCCCAGCACTCAGGAGGCAGAGGTAAGTGGATCTCTGTGAGTCTGATGCCTGCCTGGTTTACAGAGAGAGTTCCAGAACAGCCAGAGCTACAGAGAAACCCTGTCTCAAAAAGTTAAAAAACAAACCCTGTCTGGTTTGCCTTCACATATGCATGTATAAGTATGCCTTGTGCTTACATAGGCCAGTAGAGGGCATCAGATCTCTTGGAATTGGAGTTACAGATGCTCGTGAGAGGCTGTGTGGGTGCTGGGAATGGAATGTGGATCCACTGGAAGAGAAGCTAGTACTCTTCATGACTGAACCATCTCTATAGTCCAGTGGTTCTCAACCCTAATACTTCAACCCTTTAATACAGTTCCTCATGTTGTGGTGACCCCCAACCACAAAATATTTTCATTGCTACTTCATAACTGTAATTTGCCATTGTTATGATTGCAATGTAAATATCTATATTTCCGATGGTCTTAGGCAACCGCGTGAAAGGCTCGTTCAGGGCACTGGAGAGATGACTCAGAGGTTAAGAGCACAGGCTGTTTTTCCAAAGGTCCTGAGTTCAGTTCCCAGCAACCATATGGTGACTCACAACTATCTGTAGTCCGATCTGGTTCCCTCTTCTGGCATGCAGACAGAACACTGTATACATAATAAATAAATAAATTTAAAAAAGAAAAAAAAAGAGAGGGTTGTTCAGCCCCAAAGGGGTTACGACCCACAGGTTGAGAACGATTGAGAACAAAAACCCCTTGTTTTTGTTTTGTTGAGACAGGATTTCACTAGGTAGCCCTGGCTGTCCTGGAACTCACTTTGTAAACTGGGTCTCACTCAACCGTTTTTATTGCCTGAATGCTGGGATTTAGGTCACCATGCCCAGCGAGGCAAGAAAGGAATTTTAAAACATACAGTTGAGGGGCCAGTGAGATGGCTCAAGAGGTAAAAGTAGTAACTGCTGAGACTGGCAACTAAGTTTGATTCCCTGAGTCCCACATGATAGAAGGGAACAAACTAGTTTTGTCAAATTTCTTCTGATCGCTGCACATAGCCATGGCACCATGCACCCACACTCCCCATGCTGCAAATAAATTGGTAGCTTAGTTGGTAAAGCACTTGCCATGCTATTAGGAAGGCCTAAATTTCACCCCAGAACCCATGGAGAAAAGCAGGGCATGGTAGCATGTGCTGTACTCCCACAGCTGGGGAGGCAGAGGCAGGCAGGTCCCCGGAGCTTGCTAGCTAGCCAATCTTTCCACATGGCAGCTTCCAGTTCCGGGAAGGGAGGACCACAACAACAAAAACCCACGGTGCACTGTGTCTTAGGAAAGACACCTGAGGATGGTCTCTGGCCTCCACACTCTTGCCCATACAAGCACAACGGCTCAGCAAATGCACACAGAACGTGCACTGTGTGGAGGAATGATTCACAGTCCTCTGAGAGGGAGTCCTCTCATCATCACTACACCCTGAATGAAATACATTACCCTACAACTTCAGAAATAGGAGTTAGTTCTCATCTCTGTCTCCTGGATGGTAAAATCAACAGAGGTAGAAGGAGACAGAGGAATGGTACACCCTGCCCAGAACTCACTTGGCCTCCAGCTGCCAGGCTCAGTCTGCCATTTTGGGTCCTGTCTTTCAAATTTTTATTTATTTAGTTTTTTTTTTAAATATTTGTTTATTTATTATGTATACAATATTCTGTCTGTGTGTATGTCTGCAGCCCAGAAGAGGGCACCAGACCTCATTACAGATGGTTGTGAGCCACCATGTGGTTGCCGGGAGTTGAACTCAGGACCTTTGGAAGAGCAGGCAATGCTCTTAACCACTAAGCCATCTCTCCAGCCCT